TACAATAAGAACAGAAGCAAAGTACAAACAAAAACAAAGTTACGTAAACAATGCTTTTTAGACAAAGTTTTTTCAGTAAGGTCTAACAGCAGTATTCAGGTAAATAACAGCCTACAAAAGAAACCGAATGAATGAATCTAATGTAAAATCAGTTTCAGACTCGCTGGCGTCACATGACAGAATCTCTGATTTTAAGGTCCTAAATGTGGACTCGGGGCCTCCCGTGTAATTCAGCTTCTTGGTCAGTTTCAGTTCTGGTCACGTTATCACTGTCTGATTCGCTCTGAGATCCTACGATGTTATGTTTGGACTCTAAGAGAAGAACAAAAGCTCTGTGAAGGAAAGGTAGACGGAAGGTAGCACAATAATGGCTTTACTTAAAATATTTGGTTTTCATAATCACTGGAAGCCAAACTCAAAATCGAAAATAAAATTAGATTAATCACACAGCCCGGAAGTGTGAGAGAGATCTTTCTTCTGGTCTGTGAATAGCAAAAACGCATCATAGACTTTCATAATTGTATATAGAAATGGTTGGCGAGATACAATTCACAAGATAACGTTTATGTAACAATAATGAATGGTAATTTTATTCTTAAATAAAGTGTATTTTCTTAATTTCTCCAGTACTCAAAACAGATTCCACCGGGGTCCGGTAATACCCATGCTCTCAAGTCAGAAACTCGTAATCTAGAATGCAAATGATTACGAAAAACTTGGAAGATTTTGGAATTGCATGAAAAAAACATGTCCAGCTATAGACCGGTTTTAAAAGCAGCCAGGGTCGAGAGAACATCTGCAAACTCATAGAAAATAATCAAAACAATCCAAAGTTTTTATTTATCAAAGTGGCTAGATTTAAATAATCAGATGTCACATGAACTAAATATTCCCTCACAGTTTAGTAGCAATGACTTTATTAATTACTTCACTGATAAAATAGATAGCATCAGAAATACAATAATAAATGTAGAATCTACAGCGTCTTCTATCTCAGCTTCTTTTATCACCCCCGAAGAAAAATCGCAGTGCTTTACAACTAGACAGGAAGAGCTAAATAAATGTATCACTGCTTCTAAACCAACATCATGTGTATTAGATACCCACTAAATAACTGAGAAATTGTTACCTGTACCGATTACTTTTCGTCTCTTTTAGAAGAAAACAAACATAACCCCAGGTATTTATTCAATACAGTGGCTAAATTAAAGGGGTCATATGATGCGATTTCAAGTTTTCCTTTCTCTTTGGAGTGTTACAGAGAGAGAGCGCGCGAGAGAGCGAGAGAGAGAGAGAGAGAGAGCGCGAGTGAGCGAGCGAGAGAGAGCGAGCGCGTGCGAGAGAGAGAGAGAGATTATGAGAGAGACTATGCTTTGGCAATACATTGTAACAATTGTCATGCCAATAAAGCACATATTGAATTGAATTGAATTGAATTGAGAGGGGGGGGGTCACATCACAGTGGAGTCAGCTGTCTTAACCGTGGCTTGTGTACTGCAAAAACATACGAGCTTCATCACTGTGTCTGTCACGCGACTCTGTTCCCCTTTGGGGCTTGAACTGATGGTAAAACTAATGACATTATTTACTGTCTTTACATTTATTTTGAAAGATGAAGCTCGCGATTATGGTAAGGGGCGTTATATTTCTGACGCCTGCTTAAGGAGGGGGCTTTGTAGAAAACGAAGCGTTTGAGAGAGGCGGGGCATAGAGGACCTACAATAATGTACAGTATTTGAAAAATAATGTGTTTTTTGAACATTAAAGCATGTCAACATATTCTGTTACACCAAATACACAAAATAATGATCTTTAAAAAAGCATCATATGACCCCTTTAACAAAAAATGAAGCATCAACAGGCATTGATATTTCCCAACAGCACAGCAGTAAGGACTTTATGAACTACTTTACCTCCAAGATAGATACTATTAGAGATAAAATTGCAGCCATCAGCTACAGTATCACATCAGATAGTGTGCTATAGATCCTCTGAGGAACAATTCCACTCATTCTCTACTATAGGAGAGGAAGAATTGTATAAACTTGTTAAATCATCTAAACCAGCAACATGTATGCTAGACCCTATTCCACCTAAGCTCCTAAAAGAGGCGCTTCCAGAAGTCATAGATCCTCTTCTGACTATTATTAATTCGTTGTTGTCGTTAGGATATGTCCCAAAACCTTCAAACTGGCTGTTATTAAGCCTTTCATTAAAAAAAAAAAACACAACTTGACCCCAAAGAACTAGTTAATTACAGACCGATCTCGAATCTCCCTTTTCAGTCAAAGATACTAGAAAAGGTAGTATCTTCAAAATTACTTTTTGTAATTTATAGTAAAGTAAGGGCCGTTACTTTTCACGCTTTACATGCTACCCTTGGGAGATATCATCAGAAAACATGGTGTTACCTTTCACTGTTATTGTAATAACCTAGAACACTGTCTAAGACTTGATGGCTGCTCTGTCAATTCTTCGTCATCAGTTAGGAACCTAAGTGTGCTATTTGATAGCAATCTTTCCTTTGAAAACCATATCTCTAGCATTTGTAAAACTGCATTTTTTAATCTAAAAAATATGTCTAAATTGCGACCTATGTTCTCAATGTGAATGCAGAAACATTAATGCGTTCATAACCTCAAGGTTAGATTATTGTAATGCTTTATTGGGTGGTTGTTCTGCACGCTTAATAAACAAACTCCAGCTGGTCCAAAATGCAGCAGCTGGAGTTCTTACTAGAACCAGGAAGTATGACCATATTAGCCCGGTTCTGTCAACACTGCACTGGCTACCTATTAAACATCCTATAGATTTTAAAATCCAGCTAATTACTTATAAAGCCCTGAGTGGTTTAGCACCTCAGTATTTGAACGAGCTCTTGTTACATTATAGTCCTCCACGTCCGCTGCGTTCTCAAAACTCTGGCAATTTGATAATACCTAGAATATCAAAATCAACTGCAGGCGGCAGATCCTTTTCCTATTTAGCGTCCAAACTCTGGAATAATCTACCTAACATTGTTCAGGAGACAGACAGACTCTGTCAGTTTAAATCTAGATTAAAAGACCCATCTTTATGGGTCCCATAACACACTAACACATTTCTAATATTCCTCTGCACAATCTAACTTTGCTGCAGCATGGAACAACCTGCTGGTTCGTCTGGCCAGAGGAGAACTGGCCCTCCGACTGAGTCTGGTTTCTCCCAAGGTTTTTTTCTCTATTCTGTCACCAATGGAGCTCTGGTTCCTTGCTGCTGTCGCCTCTAGTTGGGAACACTTAATTTCCAGCGACATCGTCGACTTGACTGCACAGATACTATCTAAACTGAACTGAGCTGGATGATGACATCACTGAATTCAATGATGAACTGCATTTAACTGAAAATTGAGTGTTTGCTATTGTCCTTTTGCATTATTGACACACTATCTTCCTATTTGATACTGTAAAGCTGCTTTGACACAATCTGTATTGTTAAAAGCACTATTTAAATAAAAGTGACTTGACTTGACCTGTAGCAGAAGAACCGCTTCTCAATATTATTAACTTGTCATTATCTCTAGGTTATGTCCCAAAACCATTCAAGCTGGTTGTTATTAAGCCTTTTATTAAGAAACCACAACTAAATCCTAGTGAACTGGCAAGATATCAATGAAGAATTTCAGTCAGGTTTCAGGCCCCATCATAGCAAAGAAACTGCACTTACAAATGACTTGCAGTCTTGGTCTGATGCAAAAAAGCATCTCATTACTAGTTTTACTTGATCTTAGTGCTGCATTCAACACTATAGATCAGGGCTGTCCAAACTCGGTCCTGGAGGGCCGGTGTCCTGCAGAGTTTAGCTCCAACTTGCCTCAACACACCTGACTGGAAGTTTCTATGCCTAGTAAGAGCTTGATTAGCTGGTTCAGGTGTGTTTAATTAGGGTTGGAGCTAAACTCTGCAGGACACTGGCCCTCTAGGACCGAGTTTGGACAGCCCTGCTATAGATCATGACATATTCATAGGTTGATTACAAAACTATATGGGTATTCAAGGGCAGGCTTTAAGATGGTTTAGATCCTACCTGTCCAACCATTATCACTGTGTTTATTTAAAAGTGGAATCATCTCAATTAACGCCAGTAAAATATGGAGTGCCACAAGGATCTATCTTAGGCCCTCTGCTATTTTCAATATATGTGTTGCCCCTTGGTAATATTATCAGAAAATATGGGATTAGTTTCCTTTGTTATGCTCATGATACTCAACTACATATTTCAACAAGACCTGATGAAACTCCTATATTACCTAAGCTAACTGAGTGTGTCAAAGATGTAAAAGATTAGATGACCAATAAATATCTGATTAAATTCGAATAAGACATAGATATTACTTATTGCACCAAAAACAGTAAACGGAATCTTGTAGATTATAATTTGCACCTAGAAGGATGTACTGTTACTTCCTTTATAGTCAAAACCTTGGGTGTTATATTAGACAGCAACTTTTAGACATTGTTCTTTGGGGAGGAAATCCATCTTTGAGTTGATTTGAATCTCACAGTTGAAACTGTAAGGTTTGTCTCCAATGTGAATCCTCTGGTGCCGCTTCAAATCTTTGGCTGTAGTAAAAGTCTTCTCACACGCAAAGCACATATGATCTCTCACACTGGTATGTATCTTCTGATGCAATTTTAAACTTTGCAGATGTGAAAAACCCTTTCCACACAAAGAACATGAATGTGGCTTTTCTGAACTTTAAGGTGATTCTTCAGGACTGAAGCCCACAAATATTTTACAGTTCAAACTGCAGTCTTGAAGATGAACTTTATTTACTGGGACTTTAGATGATGTTTCTTTGTTAGGACAGATTCATACAGAAGATACTTTATTTCTTGACACATTATTGTGTCATGTTTGGTGAGGATGCAATGTCACACCTAAAAGTGCTGGATCTGAAGATGATCTACAGTACTGACTGTGAATCTTTTTTTTATGACTGCGTAGATTAGATAAATGAGTGAAACTCTTCCCGCATGCAGTGCAGTGATATGGTTTCTCTCCAGTGTGGATCCTCTCATGTGTTTTCAGGGTTTCTGACCGACTGAATCGCTTGTCGCAGTGTGAACACTTGAAAGGTTTCTCTCCAGTGTGGATCCTCTCATGTTTTTTCAAGGATCCTAACTGACTGAATGTCTTGTCACAGTGTGAACACTTGTAAGGTTTCTCTCCAGTGTGGATCCTCTCATGCATTTTCAGGGTTTCTAACTGACTGAATATCTTGTCACAGTGTGAACACTTGTAAGGTTTCTCTCCAGTGTGGATCCTCTCATGCATTTTCA